GCTGTCCTCACGCTCCCTCCCTGAACATTGGTCGTGTATAACTCAGCAAAAACAATAAACACTCCTTTTTCAAAACTACATTCTGCTGAGTTATTTTCTGCTGGCCACACAGAAGCAAAGCTCACATCTACTTCCCTGGCTGACCGCAGCAGCAACTACGGCCTCAGGTGCAGCAAGAGGGCAGCTGGGAAGGGGCGGCGGGCTCCCGTTTTCTTCGGCCCCAAAGGAGGACTGCCGAACCCCCACGGCGGCAGGAAAGCCACATGGCTCCCAGCCCCTCGGCAGACCCTCAGGGTCTCATCAATGACCTGAGGTCCCGTTTTAGCACCTGACAGGCACACATGCTCATGGCCGGCCTGTGGGCAGACAGTGTGCCTGTGGCCCCAGCCTTCACCTTTGCTTCTGAATGATGCTGCCGCAAGCTCCTGGAGGAAGACATGATGTCACATGAGGGGGCAGACAAAGGTCATGGCATGCATGCATGCTGCAAGGCCAGGAAACTCCCCGCACTGCCCACTGGCAGTTTCCAGAGCCGGCACAGACAACTACAGCCCGCCCCAGCCTGGGAGGGCGGAGCTCTGACACTGCCTGTGCTGGGCCCAGGACAGTGTGGCTGTCCTCTGCCAGGTGCAATGCTGTGTTGGAGGGCTGACGTACAGAACAGCCAGGCGCCAACTGCTGGCTCGCTTGCAGGGTCTGGGGAGGTGAAATGGGACAGCCACTCACCAAGTCACCCAGCAACTGGGAGTCCCGGGCATTCTCCCCAGAGAGGGAAGCATGCTCACAGTTGTCTGCAGCGGCTTCCCTCGTCAAGGCACCGCTCTGGGAGCCCACCCCGAAGGTCCTTCATTGGCTGGTGGAACAGATAGAGAGGGGTGGCACAAGGGAGCCGAGGGGCAAGGGCACCTCTGTGCCATGATGGTGACAGTGCTCACAGAGACCTGCACCTGGGACACCAGTGCAAACCCAGCGGCCTCCAGATGGGGCCTGGGGGTAGCCCGTATGCCCACTTCCTGGCTACGACACCATAGTCCGTTCTGAATGGGGGACCTGGGCAACGAGCACAGGGGACCTGGGCAAATGGGGGACCCAGGCAGAGGGTGTGGTCCCTGTCATTGCTCTGCGACTACGTACCTACAATAGTTGCAAAAGTCACTTTTCTTTGAGCAAACACAGAGCAAGCACCCAATGGCACCACCCTTTCCAGCCCTGCACTGCACTTGCTGTCACAGGGGCTCGGCCACCGAGTGCTCTGAGCCCAGCCCATCCAGCTGCCTGTGGCTCCCCCATGTGCAGACCAGCACTTAGCCCAATGTCAGAGAGCAGGAGCAGATGCACACCGAGGGGACTGAAGTGGATGGAAGAGGATTTGGAGTGCTGGGGGGGGCAGCCTCAGCAGTTGCCCCTGTCACCCTGCATCACCCGGCGCAGAGCTTAGTAGGGCTGGCACCACCGGCCTGAGCTGCCCACCTACACCAACTCTCCCCAGCACGTTGGGGGCCAGGGCAGCAGACACTGCAGGACCCCGTCTCTCCCCGTGTGCTCCACAGGGTGACCAGAACCAAGAGACCAAGCACGGGACTTCTCTCTTCCAGGTGTCTGTGCAGGTGGCCCAGCCTCGCCTTGAGGCCCTCCACCTCTGGGGGCTGCCGATGTCCCACACTGAGGTGCTTTCATGAAGGGGAAGTGCCCTACAAACACTCTGCAAACACACGGGGTCCCTGTGCCCCAGACCGCTGAACACCCCGGCAGAGGGCCCCCCCCCCGGCCATGGCCCTTCCTGTCTCCAGGCAGCTGAAGGTGCAACAACAGCAGCAGAGAGGCCATGGCGCGCACACACTGAATGGCTCCCATTGCGATGGCGGTGCTGGGTGGTCCTCCCTGTCCTCCCTCGTGCGGCAGAGCCCGCCCCACTGCCCGCCCTCCCAACCACCTGATGCCCCAGGCCAGCTGCCCCATGCTCTTGCTGAGTTTCCTCCTCACAACCCCCCACCCTTTCAATTCATCAACTGGTTCTGGAATGAACTTGGAGCCAGGACAGGACCCAGTTCCATCTAGCCCCTGAGTGTGGGCTCACAAGGAAGGTTAGGAAGCTCTGGGCAGAGTGCACTCTGAGACCCCAGAAGAAAGACCTGGAGCCCCCCGAGGGGCCCGCTTTACCTCACAGGGGTCCCTATCCAAGAATGGTCACCATGACAATGTGGGACATCACAGAGCACCCTCTTGTCCACCGCTCAGGCCCACAGGGCCAGTGCAGGCTAATGGCTAGTGGGGCTGAGTGCACCAAGGAGTGAGCAGTGAGCCAGAGGTCCTGCTGGTCCCAGTGCAGCACCAACAGCACCAGGACGGAACATGGCGGAGGCTGGACCAGGGAGAGGAGCAGACAGAGCCCAGGGTGTGCAGGGAGGGGACTCTAACTCCCACAGACACCCTCCAGACACCCCCAGGGGCGAAGTGTTGCCACACGGGGGTACTTTGGCTATCCTGGCACTGACTCAGGGAACTTGTGCCATGGGAAGTGACAGCACTGAGACCCGCAAGCCTCCCCCAACAGATGTTTCCAGAGGACAACACAGTGGCCCCTGTGGGGACAACAGTGTCTCCATTCTCCACTGGATGCTGGAGGTTATTCCTAGACCGGGGTGGTGCGCACAGCACAGTACTTTTCCACAAGCTCCCACTGACGGACCAGCTCCCGGGCCCGTTGGCCCAGCCTCCGCACACTTAGGTGCAGTGGCCAATGCTCCACTGCCGTAGTTCCTGTGAGAACCGCAGTGAGCGGAGAAGCACCACTGTCGGCTTAGGGCCGGGGGAGAGCCACCTGCATGTCCTTGGCAGACTGGCCCCCACCAGACAAGGAAGGCTTTGGGCCACAAGCCCCAGCCCAGCGCCCAGCTTTCAGACACCCCCACCCCAAAACCTTCCAAGCCCAGGACCCACGGGAAAACGAGAACTCCCTGGGTGCCCCCTGCCGGCCAGTCGGGGCGAGGCGGGAGGGTCTCCCGCAGTGGGACCCTCAGCAGCTGGGTGGGGCATGGAGCAGAAGTGGCTGCCTCAACCAGGCGCCCCGCCCCCTGCCCCACCACTGCACCAGAGTCCCAGCACGTGCCTGGGCGCCATGAAGCTTTCCTCCTGTATTTCCCAAATCTCTTTAAATGCACATGTACTTCAATAATGAAGAACAATCACTTTGACAAAAAGAACATCACCAGAAGAACCTCTGTCCTGCACAGTGCTCCCCACAAAGCCACATGCCTGCGGGCCCTGCAGTGACCAGCGGCAGCACACAGAGGTCATGAGGAAGAGAAGCTGCAAATTCCACGATAAAACAAAGTCACGAAGGTGACTGTATGGCCTCCACTTAAAAGAAACTGTGGGCGTCTGAAGGCAGGAAAGCAGCAACCGAAAGGGTCCAAGAAAATCCCATGTGACTGAGGCTCTGCATTTACAGGAGGCAGGATGGGCGGGGCCACGGGTGCATCCGCTCCAGGAGCCCATGGACAGCTGTGACTGGGGACAGGTGGTGGTAAAGGGGAGGGAGTGAGGGTCACACAGGGCACAGGGGTCTGTGCGAGTCTGTGCGTGCAGCAAGGCAGGCAGCCTCGAAGGGAAGGGGCGTGCTGATCTTGGGGCGGTGGCAACGGGGGGAGGTGTCCTGGCTCTCATGTACTCGCAGACCTGGCAGGCCCTGGGGGTACCCAGGACAAGTGGGGGCCCTGGGTCCCAGCCTGTACTTCTCCCGCAGCGGGGACAGTGGCAGCTCAGAGACGGTGCCCAGACACAGTAAGCATCTTTCTGCACACACCCTGTGCCCCTCCAATGCCCCATCGATAGCTGGGCCTGCTTTCGTGGCCTTCCAGGGGCAAAGCTGCCCACCTGGTAGAGCCCAGCAGCCATGAGACCCTGTGTCTCCCTGACACTTCAAGGAGCCCCAGCACAGCGACCTCGGGGACCCCACTGGGGACCCCACTCCAGGGCCCTCTGTCACGCGCACTGGGGCTAACATCCCTTCTAAGAGAGGCTCAGGAGGGCCTGCTCCCCTGCCGCATACCCCCTGCACATCAGCCCTTCCTCATGCTTGGGACGAAGGCACCCTGTCGCCCTGCTGCACCAGGGCACAGAGCCCGGGGTCAAACACCACCGGGGCTCGAGCCACGTCAGGGCCTGAAACCCTGGTGGTAGAGTGAACGCGCACACCAGCCTGCAGCACGCCCTCAGCTGGGCTGGGTGCTTCTCTTCCTCGTCTGAGGAAGGCCCGGTCAGGCTGCTGAATGGCAGGCCTCTAAACGTCCGCCTTGAGGACATGTGCCAAACCCTGCAGAACGTCTCGAGAGCAGGGACCAGGCCACATCCACAGCAGAGCCTCTCATCCCTGCACATGGGAAACGGCAACATGACCACGCTGACCCGGCCTCGCTGCAGTGGCCAGCACCAGGTGCCCACCCACCGCGGGAGGAGCGCCCAGACAGGCTCCACTTGGCACTGAGTGGAGCCTCAGTATGGTCTGCGCCGTTCGGTCACTGCACGCCCCGTGTTCCAGGAACAGCCTGATGCTGAGGCAACATACTACTGCTCGGAACTCGGGCACCAAATTTAAACACACACACAAACTTCCATGGTGAACCGAAGTCATGCTAGACGTGACATTTCACACGGGAGTTCCCGAACTCCGGTCCCAGGGCCACGCTCTGTGTCTCCAGGCCCCCCCCACCCCTGGCTTCCCTGCGCACAGCCCAGAGGTGCCAGCGCTTGCGCCTCCACTGAGCCATCGGGGCCCCTTGAGAACACAGGCTGGTGGCTGAGGGAGGACAGTGGCGGACAGAGCTCCAACCTACAGGTGACTGAAGTTCCTATCTGCCAGTTGCTTTTGGAAGTCACTGAGCACATGCACGGTGACCTGCTCCATCCTCTGTGCCACCCAGAGAAACGCCAGCACCAGGACCTCTGCTGTCTGTCCCCGTCAGGTCACGAGGCGGGGCCCATGCGCGCACCGAACCTACCTCAGGTGCCTGCTCAGAGGCCTGGGCGCCTTCACGTGCCCCCGGTGCCTCGGCCGCTGCTGCCTTCAGCTTTTTCCTCTTTTTCTCCGGCACTCCAGAGACCCTCCTCTTCTGTGCTGCCATCCTGCAGCAGAGAAAATAAATTGGAAGTAAAAGGTCTTGAGCCATGTAATGTTTTTATATTTTCCTATTATGAAACAAATACCTATTTCAGAAAATATAAGAGTATATAAAAGTGAAAGAGAGTCAACCCCCCGTTTCCGCACCTGAAATGACCCAAGAAACAGCCTGGGGAATTCCCTTTCTCTGGGTGAGGATTTTAACATGCAGGGCGGGCAACAGTAGGCTGACCGCTGTTGGTACGTATGGGAAATATACAATAATCAGTAAATGGGTGTAAGAAAAAACTCCCTGGGCTGACTCGGGCTTCCCCAAGAGAAAGGCTGCTGGGGGCCTAGTGCACTGTCACCTGGGTGCTGGGCGCCCACAGGTGGAGCCCAGGTGCAGCTGGGACAGCCTCCTGGGAGTGAGAAACAAGCAGAGACTGAGGCCACATAAAGGGACCTGAGGAGCCAGACGGAACCTGGTGTGTCTGCTTTCTCAAGCACAGGAGGATCAAGAATTTGAATACCAATCACTTCCGTGGGCTGTGTGGTGGGGGGGACCAGGAGCCTAGAAGCATGTCACAGGGGTCAGGGCAGAGAGCCCTCATCCTCACAGCAGGATGCCTGAGGGAGTGCCCGGCTGATTCTTGGAGGGAGAAGCAGAACCTGAACCAACTCCAGCTGCTGCTGGGCCCTGGCGGGAGCATCAAGAAACCCCCCAGCCCCACACACCCTACCTGCCTCCAGCCCCTTTGGGCGGAGCCTAAAAAGGAACGGAAAACAGAAAGGCACTCTGTGCAGTCCCAGAGGCTGCCACTGATGGGATCTGTCAGAGCCAACTGGCCCTGGCTGCCAGACAGCCACAGCTGCACATGGCCTTGGAAACTCAATCAGCCTCTTTAAATCTGAAAATAATCCCTCCTGGTGTACATATCCGTTCTTACCCGGTGCATCTAAGTTACTTCTGATGTCCTGACAGGTAACGAGAGGGCACCTCGCAACTCACAGGGCACCTCGCAACTCACAGGGCAGCGGGCCTGGAGGGAGGCCTGGGTCCCCACAATCCACAGCCCTCCAGATCAGGCCCAGGCACCTGGGAGCAGAGGCCCACTTCCCACACCCAGGGCTGTGGGTTTGCTCCCGTCCATTTGGATGCAGGACCCTTCCAAGTTTTATGGCCTCCAGCTTCTGTCCTTCTGCTCCCTGACCCTCTGCTACCCCTTCCACCCCCACAGCTGAGCTTGAAACCCTGTTACGACAAGTGTCACCACCTCCCATCTTTCCAGCTCACCACCTCTTGGCACTGTGGAGTCCAATAACCCTTCAACTTCACCAAGACCTGAAACCCATGGACCTCCTTGGTCCAGTGCCCCCCACCCCTCTTCATTCCATGTCCACAACATCAGGTCCATGGTCCGTCATCACAGTCTCGCCCTCGCACACACTCTCCACTCCTCCTCTGGCAAAGTCCCAACTCCAGCACCTGCTCCTGCCAGCTGGACCCCTGGGACCGGACCCACTGGGATCACTGGTCCACAGGGCTCTTCCGGGCTGCCCAGTAAGTCCACCACTCTCCCCAACAGTGGCCACATGCCCGGACATTCATCCACTCGCTCACCTCTCCTAATCCCTCCAGCTCCAACATCACCTCCCCTTCTCCCATCTCAACGAAGAACTCAACTCCCGGTCATAGGAGTTCATCAAGCCCCTATGTCTCCTCCTCTCCAGTCACAGTGAAGACAGAAGGTCCAGAGCTCATCCGGCGGGCAGGGGCCTGTCCCCGCTTCCTCCAGGCAGCACTCCCTTCCCCTCCGGTGAATCAACCACAAGGTCCCTCATCTTACAAACTCTCCGTTCCAGGCACTCTTCACCCCGAGCCTGCTTCCTTCTCTGGAAAAATCCTCAACAGCGGTCCACTTGCACTCACCCCCCCACCATTCTCCCTCCTCCCCCTCCCACAGGGCTTTCACACCCCAGAGCTACCAAAAGTGTTACCATCAGATGATGCGTGACACCCGTGCACTAACAAGAAAGATCCTCTCCTGGCTGGCTGCCAGCAGGCTCCTCTGAACCCCCTCTCTACTAGACCTCAGCCCTGGCCTGTAAAGACTTGAAGGAAACAGACACAGCTTCTAACGGCTCAAGGCCGCATCCGTATGACGATGCTAATCCCCCTAAAAAACGCCAGCCTGAGAAAAACTCCAGGATGCCAAAACCATCCAGCCAACACCAAAAGACAGGGCCCGTCTCCCAGCCCGCCAATCCACTTACAACGCGGCACCAGATTATGTCTGGCCTCGGCTGGAAACCCTCGGCCCAGGGTTTCCCACCTCACTTGGAGAAAGTGGGTGTCCCCGCCAAGGCCTGCAGGCTTCAGGGGCTGCCTTCCCGCCCCCTGCGCTCTCCCTGTCCCCGCTCCCCACCCGCGGCCCGCGCTCTCTCACCTCGGCCGCACAGCGCTCCGGGCAGATCCCCACACCCGTGCTCCCTCAGCAAGCGCTACGACAAGGAATAACGCGGGATGTTTCTCCCTGGCGGTCATCACCGCCTTCTGATTCCTTTCCCCCCTCCCCTGATCCATGCAAGTGCACCAGACCTGTCCTTGGCCGACGTTCGGGTAACTGGAGAGGCCAGAGCCACGCGAAGCGCCTTGACAGAAAAGGGGGCGGCCTGCGGCTGGGTCCCCGCGTGCCGCAGGGCCCCCCGAAGGCGAAAGACGCTGAAGCCCTCCGCGTGTCCCTCCCGCTGCACCCCCGCAGGCCCTCCAGACGCGCCCGCGCCCCAACACAGCAGCCACCCAGCAACCCCGGGACTTCGCTGTGCTGGCCTACCTGCGCGTGGCCACCGACTCCGGCTTCCGGCAGGCGCTGCGCCCAGTTAACGCGGTCCCGCCTTCGTGAGGCACCGCCCATTGGCCGGAGCCCCCCTCCGTCTCCCAGAGGGCCAATGGCAAGCGGCAGCTGTGAGGGGGCAGAGCCGGCGCGGGCAGAGGCGTCATCTCCGGACGCCACTAGTCTCCGAGAGTAGTCGGTTGCCAGGCAACCTCCCAACACGTGCAGCGGCCTGGGCTGGGGTTCCACACCTGCGTGCCTTGCCTGGGGGACTGCTTTTGTTGGGTTGGGTGTCTCCGAGTGCGGCGTCCCTTGGACGTAAATGAACGGAGGACGCCTGCAAACTTTTGACACTACGGACAATTCTCCAAACTCCCTAATACTAATTAATATGGGCACTTCGTATTAAAACTTAATCTCCCTGTGACTTCCCCACCCCATTAAGCAATTTGTAAGTAACTAAAACCTCTGGACACAAACAGCACTCAGTGCCGCGCGGAGTGACAGGGGCAGGGCCTCGTGCTCCCCTAACCTTCCACCGTGAACCACCCGGACGCCTGTTGTTGACGTGGTGCACCGGGGAGCCGCGGGGGGCCTGAAGCTCCCCAGAAAACTTGGTGTAGCAGGTACACGGTCCAATCCCACCCAAAGGAGGAAACACGAGCTGACTCAGAAGCTGGTAATTCTTCCTGATAAAATGTGGATGGTTTTTGTCTTTTACTTTTGAGGATCAAGAACAGTGCAACAAAAATAGAATGCAAGCCACCTATTTTTAAAAGTTCTAGTTAGTAGCCAGTAAAATCCAAAACGGTAAAAAAAAAAAAAAAAAACCTTTAATTTTTTATTTAATCCATCACATCCAAAATATTGTCGTTTCAACATGTAACTTTTCAACAGTGAGATACTTTACTTTTTAAATTTCTGATACTGTTTTCAAAGCCCAGTGTTTTACTCTGTTTGGACAGTAATTTCTATGAGAGACCTGGTCTGTACTCAAATTTCATAGAATGTAGAGTTCAGAAAGATCCACATACCCAAGTTCCTAACATGCTCTGAAGTTTTCTAGTAACTGAATCAATAGTTTCAACCTTAAGTTCAAGTGCAGCGGATGCGCTGACCACCTTTGGCATGTTTGGTGAAGCACCTGCTGTGACCGCACAGTGGACCCCAGCACAGGAAGTGGTCCCCGAAGCAGCAGTGGCAGCTTCACCTGGGCGCACGTTGGAAGGGTCCACGCCAGCCCCTGGGCTCACACTGGGGGTAGCACCCATAGTACCCCCAGGGCCTCTGGGCGATTCTAATGCATTCGAAGGCTGGAGAACTGCAGGTCCAGAACAAATCACACCGAGACGACTGCAGAAAGAGCTCTGACCAACTACTTGTACAGCAGACACTGAATATAGGCCCTTCCCTTGTAGTATTTTGAGGCTATGAAACCAGAAGAGAGAGTAACTACTAGGGTCTGTCCACCCAGGGCAATGCATGTGTGGGACACAGAGCTGAATGATCAGTGGGTCAGCATCAAATCCCAGCTCAGGTGGCATTTTGCTTCCCCCACTTCCTAACACCCGAGGGCCCAGGAAGCAAGAGTTCTCGAGCCACATACTGAGGTTGCTGGTTTAGGTCTAACGCTTGGAGTCAGTGTGGTCCCAGGACAGTCCTCTCAGGGGAGTCGGGGAAGTGGGCTGGGGGCCGCCTCTGGACCAGGACCCTTATTTAACAAGGTGGGTGGAAGTCCTCCCCCTTTCCTGAGGTGACCGCCATGTCACGACAGAAGCTTCATGATGAAACCGGAGTTTGACCAGCCATCTGCTCTTTCAGTGATGAGACTTCAGAAAATTGCAGCCCTGGGCAGAGCCACCCTCTGGTCTGACACCCAGCCCCTTTGCTCTTTAAGCTGTTTTATTTTACAGTCTTTGGAGGGACAGTGTTAGAGCAGCATAACCCACCTTAGAATGCCCCTCTCATGGCTGAGTTTGCAAAAAGGATTTATGCATTTTGCTGGAAAACTTGAAAGAGTTTCAGACCTTTGCTGTGAGAAGTATGGAAGTGCCAGAGGTACACACAAAACAGAGAGAGTATTCAAAAACAAACAATAAGCTGGTGTGCAGCTTGAACAGATACAGGCCATCTCTTTATTTCTGGCCCGAAAGAGAACGAAAGACCTTCAGATTCATCCCAGTTCGCCCCCAGAAGGGTGGATCACAGAGGAACAGGCCAGACAGGGCACTTCAGAGACCGTTCCGCCATGTCCCTGCGCAGGGACACCTGAGCTGGAGCACACTGCACATGGGCCCCGGGGCTCGAGAAGCCTGGGGTCCAGATGCTCCCTGTGCATGCTCAGCCACACCCCCGGGGGCCATTCCGACGGCCAGCTAGCAGCCGCACTGCAATGGCCTTTCAGCATTTGCTACGGGGATGAGGGACTGCCACACCCAACACAAGCATGACTGACCACATGTGCCATCTAGACTCACCCCGGAGTCACTAAGCTGGCTAACAGGAAGCCAGTGCGTTCAAAGTGCCTGCCGGTTTGGATTCAGAGCACCTGACACTCGGAGCTGAACCCCACACGGAAAGGATGACCCACACTCAGCCACCAGTGCTGCAGGGAAGCTGAGGGTGGGGGCGGCATATACCTGGGGGGACAGCACGACATAGTGGAGAAAGTAACTCACTTCTATTTTTATTCAACAGCAAATGTAGGCAGATTTTCTACTGACTTGAGGAAGGTACTTCTGGTTAACATTAGTAGTGAGTGGGTTCCACTGTGTCCACAAAATGGTGGGTTGAGGTCCTAACCCCTGGAACCTGAGACTGACCTCATGTGGAAGTGGGGCCACCGCAGGTGTACTTGATCAGGATGCGTTCACAGTGGGGTGGGGGGGGGTGGGACCACAGTTCAACACGGCCGGCCTTGTTACGGAGAGTGGGCATCCGAACACAGGGAGAATGCCACGTGAACATGAAGACAGAGATCAGGGGATGTGTCCGCAAGCCAAGGAATCCCAAGGCCTGGTGGCACCCACCAGCAGCAAAGAGAGGGGCTTGGGACAGACCCTCCCTGAGATCCTTCAGGGGAGCCAGCCCAAGACACTTGACCTCAGCTTCAGCCTCTATACTGAGGGGTGAGGAACTCCTGTCGTTGAGGCCACCCCAGCAGTGGTTCTTCATCTGGAAGCCCCGGGAAACAAGACAGCTGGACTCCACTTCAAGCTAAAGTCCAGCCTTAATGGAAAACATATTCACGCAAACTCCTACGGCAAATACCTATCGTCCACCACCACCCAGCAGAGAGCACTGCGCAGGCTGCTCTCCCCTCTCCGTGGCGCAGGTTCGGCAGACGGAGCTGGTTTGGCCCCTGTCACAGCAGGTGTGCGGCCAGCACATCACAGCCAGGACGGCTCCTCACCCGGGGAGGCTGATGGGGCTGCGCCCACGTGCACAGCTGTGATCCAGGGGGTGTCTGTGCTGAAGACAGAAGTTGCCGCCGCACTGGTCACAAGCCACCGGCAACATCTCCTTCTTCTTACACCCGCCTCTTGAGCACCGGTACGTGAAAATCTGTGAAGGCCAAAGTCACGTCAGCATCTCCACTGCTTCAGTAGGCAATTACCTGACAGCCCCTGGTTGGACTTAAGGAGAAACAGTGCTTGGCTGTGTGGAACCAAGAGGTCGAGGTTTCTGCCAAACAGTGAACACGAAGGAGACAGAAGTTTTCACAAGTGACAACTACAAAAGCAACAATTCAGCTGGGGACTCACATAGGGGATTAAAGGTGTGCCAGGTGGGGGTGGGACCAGGGACACAGAGGGAAGGGGCCAAGCATGTGACACCATGTGGGGTCCTGAGCAGCTGGCTCCAGGGGCTCTACAGACAAGGGAGCGTCCCCACACGGTGCAGGAACCACAGCAGCCCTCTCTAGCCCCCACAGCTATTAGTTCTTGGGGTTTTTTGGGGGGGTTGTGATAGAAATTTGCAGGCACCTCCTAGTCCCTGAAGGTAGGAATGCCAGTGCAGAGGCGCTGCCCAGCAGCCTGTGGGAAGCCTGCCGGCAAGGCCTGGCGGCCGAGGGCTGCCTCCGGGGAGACGAGCGTGTGCACACAGCACAGGGACTTGGCACTGAGAGTCTGCTGCTGGCAGCAGGCCCCGCCCATGCCAGCAGGAGGCCTGCGCCCTGGAGAGGCTCAAGGAGCAGCTGCTGGCCTGGGCGAGTGTGGCACGGGCAGGAGACCACGTGAGGACTCGGAGGACAGCGTGGAGTGCATGCTCCACATCGAGAGTTGACTGCTTTCTCCACTTGGCTCCGGAATTCCAGAAGCCAGGGGTGTGCTCCCCAGGCAGGGCATTGGACTGGCTCAAGAGAAAGCCTGGACAACACAGACCTTCACGCTTTCCTGAGGAGTGGACAGAGCAGGTGACCACAGTGAAGGCAGAGCCCCCACTAGGGGTCTGGAAGAAGTGAAAGACTCCAAGATGACATTCCAGGGGAAAACACTGGAGCTTCCAGTCTGGAAGGGGTCTCTGTGGGCCCTGCTCACCAGATGAAGGCGGGCCCACACCAGGAGCGCTCCATGTGGCTTCCAGGCTCCGGGTCAGAGAGGAGACCCTCCAGGCTGCCCAGAGGAAAACTGGTTCCACCAAGGAGCACAGAAGGCAGCCTGCGAATTCTCTAACAGTAGATCCAAGGACATGAAGCTACACCTGCAGGTGCCCGAGGGAGGAATTCGGAGCAAGGACGCTAGCGCAGGTAACCAGCCAAGCAGAAGCAGAGGATAAAGACCCTGGAAACTCGGGTCCATTTGTCTTCCAAATGGGGACATTTGTAGTCCTCATTCACAGGGAGAGAGTGGGAGACGTTCCACCACCAAAATAGGGGAATAAACCAAGGACACAGGAGACCAGGGACCCACAGCAAGGGAGGTGTGGAAAACTGGGACCCTCCGCCCTGTGACAGAGAAGCGCACAGGGAACCTCTCAGCTATGTCTTCAAGCACAGCCCACCCCATACCTGCTAGGAGGCGGGACATGAGGAGAAGAACACGGATGAGAGCCAGACTGGGGACAGGAGCCCGGCACTCAGCACACACTGTGGTGAACAGGTGACGCCCCAGGCCAGCGCAAACACGCCACACCTGAGTTCTAACAGCACGTGCACACCGGCAGTGGGCCAAAGGAGCAGCCCCACCCCCCACGCACAGGTGCAGAGCTTGGACGAAACCCCAACGCTGCCGAGCAGGCACCCGGGCTGGCTGTTTCACTTGCTCTTACACTTCCCTGGGGGGCGCTCGGAAAAAAGTGCATGTTAACAGGACAGTTCTCAAAAACCAAGTTCTCTCTCTATCTTAGGAGAAAAGCGTGACGTTCCTGTGAAGGCAGTAAACCCCGGCACAGACCTCACTACTCGGAGGACCGGTACACATAACTGTGGAAAGCCTGCTACTCCCGACACGGGCCGACACCAGCGTCCAGCCAGAGTTCTGTCCCGTCCTCGAAGCACCAGGGCGTGCTCTCAGTTGGGAACCAGCCCGCCCCGCAAGGATGTCAACACACACAAAGCTGACACAGGACTGTCCTCACCTTCTCCTCCTTCCTAGGACGGAGCTTACAATCTCTATCGATGTGTTCGCCAACCACAGCATCTGGTATCTCTCCCTTTTTTACTGGGATCGGGCGGTCGCAGAGCGGGCACACGGGGACCTGAACATCCTGTGGATAATGCGCAGAAGGAGAAATTCCAGGATGAGACGAGCAGAACCCACATGATGAAAAGGCACAGAGGTGCAGTGCGTTTAAAAGCAGCCAGAGTTCAAGCTGACCACACATGAGAAGAGAGCACTGTTAGTTTCGGGATTAATGGTGTGGCCCTAGGACTTGAAGTTGCCTTGTGCGGAATCCAGTAGAATTTGGAATTTAAACATAAGGACCACTAACCACCTACAGAGTGACCCTGAGTCAGTGAGTAAAGGCAGCCAAGGAAGGGAGCTGGCGAGCTCAGTCCCGCGGTCTCAGGACGAGGACTGCTTGTCCTGTACTGTCTGGGTGAGAGGTGAACCTGCCCAAAACCCCCGAGTGGAGATGGCAGAAGAAAACCCCACTAGAAGCCGTCTGGCTCCCTCCCCCCTGCCAACAGCCATTCTGACCTGTTCTGACTTCCTCACACTATGGGCAGGTCAAGTCCAGAAATAAGCCAGGTAGTCTGGTGTTGTCATCAGCACCCCATGACCATGAGTAACATGTGTGAGTCACCCTGCCCCACCCCATGACCTGGGACCTGCTGGAGGGTCAGACTCTGGCTGGCACTGATCAGAGCATGGACTGCAAGGCAATCCCATTACCGACCACTGAGATGGTGGCGCCGCAGAATGCCAACCCAGAGCTCACCGAAACCGTCTCCATGGCACCCTGAAACGAGGCTCGCACAGGTTGGAAGCCACCTGCAAGGTCCGTAACTAAGGCCTTAAACTTCTGGACTCAGCGAGCTGGTGTCCTTAGTCATCTCCCAGTTTCTGTCCTGTGCTACCTGAGTTACTTAAAGGTGACATCAGTGTGCAGTCACCCAGAGAAGGAGGCATTTCAATACCTTTCGGGTTACATTCCACAGCAAACATTAAACTGTTTCTTGTGCCCCAGGAAAACACAGCTCTGTTTTTCCTTAAGTCAAAGCAACTAAGTATTGTAACACGTAAAGTAAGCTTTGAATGTTTGGGCACAACAATCTGATTCCATGAATCCCTGGAAATAGAGTTTTCTCTATGCAGAGCTCTGCTGTCCGACACTTCCTGTGACGGTGGACCTGCTCTGTACTCGCACGGTCACTGAACGCCTGAGACACAGCCAGTGTGACTGAGGCGCTGGTGTAAAGTTTTGTTCTGTTTCAACTGATGAGCTACATGAGGCCAGTGCCTACTTCGGAGCACACAGCTTTGGAGAGGGAGAGACTCTTTTGAACAGAGAGTAATTACCTTCTTGAATGCAAAGGGGCACTTATGTGCAGCATAAGCAAAATGATCCTTACAGAACTCTTGTTCACATGTGTCACATTTTAGTGGAAGAAAATCTGGAAAAACAAATATAACAACAGTAAAGTGTTTGGAGACTAAAAGAACTGCAGGACTGCCATGCTAGGCACGCATTCCCCTACACCGAGCTCTTCATGGCTATCAAGTACACCTTTGACTTAACACACGTGAGGCTCTCTGTCTCAAGGGCAAGCATGTGGCATTGTGAGGCGCTAGGCAGCATCTTCTGTCCACTGGGTCCTGGCAACTACTCTGATGGCCAGCTCCCCTCCCACAAAACAGCCAACAAAACGCCCACCTTGTATTAATATTCTCTGAGAAGCGCTTACCTAGCTGCTTGCACGTCTCCTCTGAGCAATGCTTCCCCAAGCCCGGGAACTCCATGGTGAGACACAAGTGGGAAGAGCAGCCGCAGGGGCGGGGTCACCTGCAGGAGCCCAGGCGGTTGGTTAGCAGGAGTGGATGGGCAGCATGTCCACCCCTAGGGTCTGACTCACAGCAGAAGAGAATAAACACTAGGCGTTCCCATCATCCCAGGGCCCCCCCCCCCCCCCCACGGAACCTAAAACCTCACAAACTCTTGTCCCTCAGCAAAAAGAAAGATGGGGGAGGGGCAGCACAAGTCCCGCTCCTTTGGAACCGACCCCCTTGGACTCCCAGTTTAGGAAGCTCGCCCCGAATTCCGGTTTTCCTGAGTCCGAGGTTGGACTCCTGCTGAAAGGGCTCCCAAGTTCAGTCTGCACCACTGACAGCCAGAGTTGCAGCCTCAGCGAACTCTGAGTCACAGTCCCTTCTACTCCACGCACTCCTGGACACAAACAAAAGCCCATTACTAAGGGCGAAATCGCACCTGTGGACTATACTATCCCAAAGACATGCAGCTCTGTCCCTCCTTGCTCTAGCTCCCTGGCTCGTGGGGTTTCACTCAGAAGTTATTCGGTAATGACTGCCTGGGGCTGACCACGTGAACACGAAAACAACTAGGGGAGCTACTGCTTTTGGGAGGAAACAGGCCCAGCGCGGCCTCCGAGAGGTCCCCTCCACCCAACCTCTGAAGACTCTCGCCCCTCCCAGGAGTCAAGTCTTGGGGGCTGGGAGCGTCTCCTATGTGGTCCCCCAAACCCCAGCCAACACAACCTTGTCCCCTCCCCTCGGTCCAGCACCACTCCCTCAAAAGGGCCTCTGCCACCACCCTCACCACGCTGCACTTAAGTCATAGAGCCCCGCTACCCTTCAAGGATCCGGTCATTCTTCAGGGCATCGTTGGTTCCCCACGAAAGGTCCGTCCTTTACCATCAGCCCTGAGGAGCAAGGGGCCACATCGGGTTCACCTGTCGCTGTGCCACAGCGCGGGACACCGAGTAAGTGCCCCGAACCCTTGTGGAAGGAACTGATGACAACCCGACTTCAGTCCTGGATACCATGGCAGCGGCGTGAGAGCCCCCGACCGGGGGTCCCTCTGCTTGGGCATTAGTAAGGTATCTCTCCGCACAAGCCGGGACTCAGGCGACTGGCGACGTTTATGACCGCGTGTGACCCTGGCGCCACGCTCCAAGACGCCTGGTGCCGCCCCAGCCCGGCCTGGTACCTGGCTTTCCTGGGAAGCCCCGACAGTCGCGGAGACGGGCCGAAGGTGGCGCAGACGCGGAGCTGGGCCGCCCCCTCCGTGGTCAGCCCTGAGGTACAAGGTCGAAAAGAAGAAAACTGGACCCGAGCGGTGACCCTTTCCAATCCGAGCCCGCGGAAGAGCGCAGCATCTCGCCGCTCCGGGGTCCCTGGCATTTATTCGCTACCGACATGAGTGAGAGCTGCCTACACTCCACTGTTCCCGCGCGCCCGGTGACGACACTCCCAGACAGGCCAATCCCGTCCCGCCGCGGCCCGGAGTTCGCGTCGCGTCTCGAAACGTCACTAGCAGGCCGACCAATCCTGTCCCGCTCCGCCGCGTCGACCCTCCCCCTTCTCTCGTCCCTCCACCTTCCTTCTCCAACAGTCCAGCAGTTTCTGGGGGCGCTGTCACCGTGACACAGCTGTGCGCTGGCGCACTGAACCCGTGCGCGGCGCCGGAACGCTGAGTCAGAGCCAGGCGGCGGCGGGCACCGGAGGCCTCGCCACCCCCGCCCAGGTGCGCGGGCCTCTGCGACGTCAGGAGCTGTCAGGGTGGCGGCCCGCGCGCGTTGTCCCTGCGCCCACAGAACCATCCGTGTGATTGTCACCAGCGCAAGGCGATTGCCAGTCACACCGACATCTGCTAGGTTTCTCCATCTTTCCGTCTGTGGATTAGCATTTTGTAGGGAGCTCTTTCAAGATCCCACCATTATTCCTAAACCTCTGCCTGACTTTCTTAACCTTTACCATTGACTTCTGCCTGAATCACCTAGGTCATTGCCAAATACTACTTTTTAAAGTTTCCATCATCTCTGCAACATTTACTAGTTGGCATTCTAGTATAAGGAAAAAAAGTCCCTCTCTGTTTACTTTATATTCATCTGTGTGTATCAGTATAGATTCATGAGTTTGTATTTTATTGAATGGGTAGTATTTTGTTGCTCTCATTATTTTGATATTAAAACTCCCAATTTGGCCCATGAGAGCCCCATTCAGCTGGCTCCTGAGTTCTTTTGACATGTCCCCATCATTCTTTATCTTTGTGCCCCCCCCCTTACCTTCTGGCACAAGATGTTCCAGGCTCAATTTGTACTCTCCCTGCCCCAGCCCTGGAATCAGCATTTCTCCAATGGCAGTTTCTTCCTAGTGGAGGATGGTATTTAGAAAGCAAGATTCCAGCCAAGATGGAGGCGTAGGTAGATATACTTTGCCTCCTCGCACAACCAAAAGAAAGACAACAACAAATTAAAAAATAAAAAGTAACCAGAACTGCCAGAAAATCGAACTGTATGGAAGTCTGACAACCAAGCAGTTGAAGAAGAAACATCAACTAGAGTGACAGGAGGGGCAGAGATGGGCAGCCAGGACAGAGAGGACTCACGGCAAGGCGGCAGCTGGGGGACCAGGGCGGGCGGTCCCACATTTGGGTGTGGATAAACCAGGAGGAACAGCTGGGGACAAGACAGACCCACAACCCAGGGTTCCAGTGAGGGGGAAATAAAGGCTCAAACCTCTGGCTGAAAACACTTGTGGGAGTTGAGGTGTAGGGGACCGGTTTGTCTTGGCCTGGCAAATGTGACTCAGCTCTGTATGGAAAACCTACAGATGCGAAGTGGTGGGCAGAACCCAGACTTGCAAACCAAGTTTTCCCGTGGGAATCAGGCCTAGAAAATGCTTACAGATTGTTATGGCTTGCTCTTGGTAAAACTCCCTCACCCTGGTCTAAAGCAACAAATGTTTATTGTCTATCTTCAAAGTAATTTCCAAAGCCTGTGTGAGCTCTCCCAAGGACAGAGCTAATCAGCTCATTGCCATCCCCCTTTGCATGTTATTTTTATTTCCTTGATTGTATCTAGAAAATAGACAATAATATTCTATGTGACAGATAATAAATCTTCCTTTGATGTAAGACCCCAGGAAAACAATAAAAGCCTGTCTAGGCAAGGGTCAGGGTGCTCCCCTCTTGAGGGAGTGGCTCAGGCATCCATAGGCACTCTCCTCTTGAGAGAGTAGTCGTGCCTGTCCCCTTTTTCCACACAGGATTGTTGTCACCTGTGCATTGATTCTCATCGTCAACCACAACAGGTGGACTCTGCTGGGTAGGGTCTGCCACGTTGAGGCAGTGGGGGAAACTCCCAGCCGCACAGGAAAGTTTGTTGGAGACAGACCCACAGGGTCCTAGAACATACACAAACCCACCCAGCGGGGAATCAGTACCAGAAGGGCCCACTTGCTTGTGGGTAGGGGGGAAAGTGACTGAAATCCAACAAAGAGCTGAGCAAGTGCCATTGTTCCCTCTCCAACCCCTCCCCACAGAGAGCGCCACAACACAGGGACCTGGGTTGCCCCGCCCTGCTTAACGCCTAAGGCACCTCCCCTCACTAAGTAACAGGTGCATCAAGACAAAAAAAAAAAAGTGGCCCAAATGAAAGAACAGATCAAAGCTCCAGAAAAAATACAACTAAGTGATGAAGAGATAGCCAGCCTATCAGATGCACAGTTCAAAACACTGGTAATCAGGATGCTCACAAAAGTGGTTGAGTGTGGTTGCGAAATAGAGGAAAAAGTGAAGGGTATGCAAAGGGTAATAAAGGAAAATGTATAGGGAACCAACAGTGACAGGAAATAAACTGGGACTCAAATCAACGATTTGGAGAAGAAGAAATAAACCTTCAACCAGAACAGAATGAGGAAAACAAGAATTCAACAAATGCCCTGGCTGGTGTGGCTCAGTGGATTGAGCACCGGCCTGTGAATCAAAGGGTCACTGGTTGGATTCCCAGTCAGGGCACATGCCTGGGTTGCAGGCCAGATCCCCAGTGCAGGACATGAGAGAGGCAACCATGCATTGATGTCTCTGTCCCTCTCTTCCTCCCTTCCTCCCTCCCTCCCTTACCCTCTCTCTACAAACAAATGTTAATTTAAAAAAAGCAGGAGTCCCCACTGATAGGACCGAGGTGAGCATGTCAGTGAGGGAGGGGCCCAACAGCAGTAGGAATGGTCACCAGGCCGAGTGCTCTGTGGTTGGGACACCAGCCCAGCCTGGACGACCTGCCCTCAGGCACTCAGTGGAGACAACTGTGTGGTCACTGCACAGTGAGGCTGGCCTGGCTAGGGTGTGGCAGCCCCAGGGTGGCTTCCTTGCCCAAAGTACATGACCTCAGCTTGGTGAGGAGCTTCTACAGAGTGAACGAAGACCTGCGTCCTCAGAAGCATCAGGTCCTCCCTCAGGGACAGACACAGCGGCCACCCAACAGGAGGCTCTCCCAGACCTGGGCCAGAGCTGAGCTGCAGGTCAGCTGCCAAGGCAACCCCATCCTCTTTCAGTGGCTCTGGAAAGGTGCTGTTCGCAGAGGCTGGGCATGTGGACTGGCAATTTTGCAACTTTTTGGAAGTCAAATTATTTCAAAATAAAAAAATTTTTGCATTAGACTCTGTTGAACTCTCTACAGACGTTAAGTTCTCCTTCCGAAGTGCATTCAGTAGATTTCAGTGGCTAAAACTGTGACACTCGAGAGCCAGACGTCCTGCCCACTCCTGTTGAGCCACTGCCAGATGCTCGTGGCAGTCTGTCTCTTGTTTCTCAGAGTGCATGTTATTTCTCAAATACTTGTCACGATGCGCCAGCAGTGGTGGTAAGAGGCACCCAAACTTCCACGGTGTCTTCCAAGTGTCCCGCAGCAGGAGAGAAGCCTAGAGGTCAGGCGGCCGTGGTCAGGCCTGGGCCCTCCTCAGCCTGACTGTCATCAGCCCCTGCCCACGGCCTCACCTGCACAAGTCACGTCGAGGCACAGGGCCTAGTCCCCCGCAGTCCCTCAGCTCCGTGAGTTCCTGCCGCCCTGCTGGCCCTGTTTCAGCCTTCAGGAGCTTGCCAGGTGCTCCCATTGCACGGGCATTGCCTGCACTACTGGAGTCCGGAGCCTGCAATGGGCCCCAGGGCCCTGTGCCATCAGGGGCACCTCCCAAACAGACCGACGGCTGATCCTGGGGCCTGGGCTCCCAGAGGTCGGCCACCCTGCGGAGGCCGGGCAGGGCGCTGCCCACCCCTTTCTTTCCGTAGGGGACACACATGCTGTGGTGGGTGTTGAGGTGTAGGGTTTGTGAGGCGTGTGCACCTCTTCGTGGGCTGGTCCAGAGTGTGAGTCGAGAATGTGTGGCCCAGAGCAGCTGGTGCCACTGGGCTGGGACTGGGACGGGTCAGTGTGCAGCAAGGCCTGGCCCCCAGCAGTCAGGCGCGGCTGCAGGCGTGAGCTCAGCAGGAAGAGCCTTGGGCTGAGGCGCCAGGCGCACACAGTCGCCCCCCACACAGTTCTTGGGCCCAAGGGTGCTGTGTCCCCTCTTGTGCCTGCATTTGCCCGTCCTGGCCCTGTCCCCTCTGCTGGGCTGACGCCCTGGAGACAGGGCCGTGGGCGCTGAGGATGAGAGAGCCCAAGTCCCCCCTAACCCCAGGCCCCCAGTGTGTGGAGGAGCAGCTCTTGTCCCCGGTGGGCACTGGGAGGTCACTGTCTCCTGGTGGTGCCCAGATCCCATGAAGGGCAGCTCCATCCTTGGGACCCGTTCCCTAGGATGTGTCCTGGTCACATTCTTGGGAAGACGCTGGGCTGGGGACCTCCGTTTGGGGTGCGGCTGCTCTGCCCAGTCACGAGGGAGGGGGCGGACAGTCCATTCTGGAGATCCGCTTGTTCCCCTGGGAGCACTGCACCTCAGGGGACAGAATGTGGTGGCATGGCGGCCCCTACTGGACGGCGGCAGTACTGCAGCCGCGAGGAGGGTCACCTGGAGGGGAGTAGGAGGAGGCCCACTCTTGCAGACTAAAGGTGGGGCCAGGGCTGGTTGTGCGTCCCTGGGGCCCCAGATCTGACTGACACACTGGGGGGTCCCCAGATGAGTGGTGCTGCCCCTGCGCCCCCACCGTGGGCCAACACCTCCTTCACATCAGCGTGGAGCTGGTGCCCTGTGCGCCTGGCGGTCCGGGGCTCACTGTCCACACCTGCAGAGCACATGCTGCAGAAGACAGTCGGGTCCCCGGGAGGCCACAATGGAGAGCCGCTGGAGGGCCTCCCAGCCCCCGAGGCTGGCACTCCGTCCTGAGACACCTGGTGACCGTCCCACACGTTCCCAGGGCCGGGAGCCACCCCAGACTTAGCTTAAACACCTGTGCTTTCTGGTGCCTGGTCTCTGGCTGTGGGACGGCCGCACTCAGGGGGTCTTCACCAGGGGGTGGCTGAGGTGGCATCGCCTGAGGCCTCCCATCTCAGCTGGGAGGACACCAGCAGCTGGGGCTGACAGGGCGGCCTGGGCACCCTGGGCTCCGGTGCCCTCCACGGGGTCTCAGGGGACGGCAGCGGCAGAAGTGCCCGGCTCTGTGCCTGCTGCCCAGGCCCAGGTTCCTGAGGAGAGAGATGCAAACACGCACACATGGAGACACAGGTGCACATGTATGTACACACAGAGACAGACGGACACAGGGGAGACCAGAGACCTTGTGTGGTGGGCAGAGCAGGCCCCAGCCTCGGCGGCCATGCGGCATCTCCCGCCCACCCTGCACTGGTTGGAGCCACCTGAGCCCCCCACCCCCAGGTTCAAGGTGAGAACGCAAGCCCCTCCCGTCAGTCTGTTACAGGGGGTCCGGTGGAGGGAAGGCATGGGGGTAGATGGAGGGACGGACAGGGACAGGGGTGGGGCTGGTCAGGGGGCCCTCTCTGGGGAAGTACAAGCCCCGACACATTGCGCCTGTCTGGGCCTGTCCCTCTGTGTCGGTTCGTGGACGTGCTCACAGGGGACCCAACTCCGTGGTAGCCGTGCGGTCGCTGTGTGCGGGGCCCGGTGATTTGTGGGAGCTCCCACACCCTCTCCCCGTACTCCCGGAGGCTGCAGGGCTTCCTGGCCGGTCCCTCTGGGGTGTGTGCAGTCCCTCTGCTGGTCTCTGGCCTGAGGCCGGAGGTCTGACCCTGGACACAACCCCCAACCTCAGTCTCCCCACCCACTAGACGGCGTGACACCAGCCCCATCTAGTGGGGGGCTCTGTGGACTCACATCAGGTTCAGAGCTCATGAGAGCCTGGGAAGCCGCTAGGTTCCTGGTTAAGCAGGTGGAAGGCACTGCAGACCTGAGGATTGGTTTGAAGAGGGCCCAGTGTGTCCTCTGTGGCAGGCCGTGTCCCCAAGCGTCTGTCTTCCAGGCTCCTGCCTGTTGTGGGCGTGTGTGCTGTGCGTGGCCGTGGTCCTTGCTGAGGGACCAGGCCGGGGTGGGGGTCCTGGGAAGAGAGTGCAGCCCCAAGTGCCCTGGCCTGGGTCATGCCCTTCGCCCCAAGCCACGCCCTTCTCCCCAGCCACCTGGGAGGTGGCTGACTGGTGCCCCCAGGGCGGCAGCACCCAGTCCCCTGGCCCCGGGAGAGCAGACCCACCCTCCTCCCTAGCTACAAACCCTCTTACTTCGGGAAACCAAGCAAAAAGTATTTTAAAATATTGTAAAACTCACCAAACAAATGGACATTAGCACCCCCACTGCTGCAGAGAGACCTCACCCCCACACGCCGTCTTTGGGGGGCACCCAGGACACCCCCACCTTACAAGGAACCCACACAGCCCTGCCCCACCCCTGAGTGGTCTTCTGGAGCCTCCATCTCTCCCCCCTTCTTCCTGAGGCTCAGGGAAGGGCTGCCTCCAGGGTCTGGCACCCACCAATCCCCAGCTCCCACTCCTGGGAAACTTCTGGGGTGGTTGCTGGACCTGCAGGGAGCTGGTGTGGGAGGAGGGAGGCCCTGGAGGCTTCTGGCCAGGCCCACCTTGCAGGGCGCCAATCCTGGTGATGTGTGGGGGTGTGCTTCAGGGAGGCACCTGTGCACCTCCACCAGTGCCAGGGGGTGCTCTCAGCGGGGTGCCCTTGGGGTCCATGAAGGGACTCGGGTGATGCGACCTGAGTTTCAGACCTGGAGCGTCCTGCCATCTCCCCAGCCGTGGCCATCTAACCCAGCACCTCTGAAGCAAAGTGAAGATGGTGTTCAAGCCGAGAAGCCGCTTGCTCCCACAGAGGCCTGGGGACCAGGAAGGCTTCTTGGTGGTCATATCAGCTCTTGCATGGAAGTCTTGGAAAGCTAGGTAGTAGGATGTCACCTTGTCAGTAGAAAGGAAGGCAACCGTGGAGGGTAGTTTTTCTTGTCTTCTCCTCTGGGGAGGGGTGTTGGGACCAGGACACTGTGGGCTGGGAGCTGGGAGCTGCCGGGTCCCTGGGTGAGACCCTGGCACTGGGGAGGGGGGGTCTCTCCTTCCTGACCTGAAGGATCTGCCTGGGCAGTAGGTGAGACTGCAGGGAACAGGGCCTCCCCCCCGGCTATTCCCGCAGGCGAGGCCCCCACAGCAGGGTGCAGAGAGATCATCAGCGGTGGGTGGTGGGCTGAGTTTTCAGTCTGGATGTTTCCAGGTGCAGCATTGCACTCCCCCGTGAAGAAGAGAACAGGAAGAATGAAAAATTCATGGGCATGCGGGGGGGGGGGGGGGGACACCCTCCTTGTTACCTGTCACCACCTTCTGTTCCTGTCACCTCCAGGCTCTGGTCCCTGGAGCAGGAGGGCTCTGTCTAGGGCACAGAGCCCCATCTCCCACCCTGTCCCCTGCTGTGCAAAGTGGGTGTGGGACCATAGTCACCCTGAGCACCCACCCACAGTGGGCCTTGTCATCCAGGGGCTATCCCCTCCCAGAGCACGGATGGGGTGAGCCCCGGGTTCCCAGTACTTGGGGTACACACCCCTTCCTTCCACAAGCGCCCAGTGTGCGGCCTGGGCCAGGTGCACTGTAGGGAAGGCATGCAGTAGGTGTCCAGGCGCTGTCCCCTGCCTGGAGGACTGCGCGGGTGACCCTGCTCAGGCCAGCAGTGTGGCTGGTGGCTTTGTGCAGAGCAAGTGGGACTGTGGGCTCTGGTGGGGGTGGGCATCGGGCGGCCTCCCAGGTCGGATTCCTGGGGCTTGAGGGTTGGGCCTCGGACGGGCGCCGGAGGAGGCCTCCTGCCCGCGCCGCTGGGGGCCGCCCGCGGGCCGTGCCGGCCAGTGCGCGCCGTGCGCTCCAGGCTCCGCGCCGGCACACGCTTGGCGGCCGCGGTGGCAACAAGAGCGGCGGCGAGGACGGGCGGGCGCCAGGAATGCGGAACCCGCGAGCAGGCTGAGGCGGCCCGGGATGGCGCAGGGGCGGCGGAGGCAGGAGGCCCGCGTGGGGACCTAGCGCGGCGGAGCGCACGCCCAGCCGGGCCCCACGGCGCCGGCGGCCTCGCGGCAATGGCCACGGAGCGGCAGAGGGCCGTCCTGGAGCTGCTGCAGCGGCCCGGGAACGCGCACTGCGCGGACTGCGGCGCCCCGGGTAGGTGCGGCCGGGTGGGAGCGGGCCGGTTGGGCGCTGTCCGGGTGGGCGCCGGCCTGGATGCTGGACCCGGGACTGGGAAGGGCGCTATGGCGCCGGCGTGGCGGGGGCCTCAGGAGCGCAGCCGGGTCCCCGCTCGGATGGGGAGCGGCCCCGGGTGCACCTGCGGGGACAGGAGGTCGCGGGCCCGCGGCACCGGGCCTGCGGCGGTGTGGCCTTCTCCCCTCCCCCCAACCCGGGTTCCGGGTCTCGCTGTCACCCTCGGACCTTCCCCGCGTTGCGAAACCTCGGGCTCCAGGAAGAAAGAGGAAACAGCGGCCCGCGGGCGGCGCAGGGAGAGGTTGGGAGAGCCTGGCAGCCCTCCTGGTGAGGATGTGAGTCCACCTGGCTCCCGGCCACCTGGAGCTGACGTCATGGGCGCCCCTCGGGAGTCGCCCTTTGCACTGCGCCCAGCAGGTGGAGGGCGCCCCGCCGCTGCCACGTGGACCCAGTGGGAAAGGGCACCCGTTCCCCCACACACACACCTGGCGCCCTGCTGCTCTGGAGCAGGTGGAGGATTCAGCTGGGGCTCCAGGGCCGGGCGTGGGGAGGGGCAGGCGACCCACCTGCTCCCCATCCTCCCGGAACAGGACTTTGCTCCTGAAAGCCCGGGCTTGCTTTCGGGGTTTGGCAGGGCCCTTCCTCTACCCTCAGGGCCCCTTGCTGGTCCTTTGTCCTATGGGTGGGGGTGGGGACAGGCACAGCCCCCTCTGCTCCTGCCGCAGGGCTACAAAGGCCTGCAGTCCAGGGGGACGCTGGACAGCCCACTGGGGCTACAGCCAGGAACCCTCAGAGCAACCTGACACAATGGGAGCAGCCGAGGCCCCTGGGGAGTGGGGGGTAAGACCCTGTATTTGTCCGTGACCCCTGGGCAGCCTCCAGACACACCCAATCAGGACTGGGTCCCCAGCTCTCCCTGCTGCCCACTGGCAGGCCTGGAGGGGTATCCAGCAGCCCCGGGTTCTGGGAAACAGCTAGTTGGCTGCAGTGTGGCCAGGTGAGGTCACACTGGGAGCTGGAGGGTCCCATGGGGCGCCAGCAACGGGCTTTGTGGAGGCCAGGTGGGCCGAGGAGGCCTTTGCCCAGCCTGCTGAGCAGGACCGGCCTGGCAGTCGGCAGGGGTGGCATCGCCATCGCCCTGGGCCCGGCTCCTTCGAGCGGGGCCCTCACCCCAGACCTGCGTTTCTGCTGGTTCAGGAAAGCTGGGCATGTGGGGAGGGGTTAGGGAGAAAGCGCAGTCATCCTGGGCTGTGCTTGGGCTTGGCCTATGTGAGCAGGGGAGGAGGCCAGCCTGTCCCTCTGCTTGCTGGCCACACTGCCTGCAGCGGCCTCCCCTGGCCACCCCTGGGCCCCGGCCTGGCAGGAGAGGTCTTACTCAGTTAGTGGGCCTGGTGCTGCCACACCCTGCCCGCCCTCATCCAGTGGCCCGGCTCTCCTGGGTGTCGGGCCAAGCCTCCAGCGTTCAGAGCTGGCCCAAGACACCCACGACATCACAAAGCCCCAGAACCAGGCAAAATGTGAGCACTCACCCCATTTTACAGCTGGGGAAACTGAGGCCCTGAAACCTTGATTACCCTTAGGGGACACAGTGCCTCAAAGGGCACACCAGGACTCCTGACGCCTGGCCACAGCCCAGCCCATGCTTCTCGCCCTCCCCCCAGCTTCTCCCCGTCTCCAGGGTGTCCAGGCCTGAGGCCTGCTGTGCCGCCTCCCCCATGACCCCAAGGGATGCCCACCGAACTCTCAGGCTGGAGCCCTTCTAGGGCCCAGACTGGTGACCAGGGGTCCCTCTGGCATGGACATGTCGTCGGCAGAGCATTTCAGATGGACCTGCTCTTCCCGACCACAGCCGGCCAGGAGCCAGGCATTTCAAGGGTGGGGTCCCTCAGCCTGAGCTCTGGACAGCAGGATGCAGGGCGGGCCTGGGGCGTCTGGGAGAAGATGGGCAGTCCTGGCCAGCTGGCCCCATGAAGGCTGCTGGGAAGGAGGCCATCTGGGGGACCCCTGCAGCCCTCCAGTAGGACACAGGGTAGGCCCACCCCCAAGCTCTGGAGCATGGGCCCTGCCTCACAGCCTCCTCGAGAGGCCTGGGTTGGGGAGGTGGTTACCACGTGCTGCGGGAGTCAGGTCTTGTGCTGGAAGGATGTGGAGCCTCAGCTCGTTCATGGGGTCAGGCTGTGGGTGGTGTTCCGGTGCCCTTCCCCCGGCCCAGGGCTCGGAGTACGCTCGGCCGTCCTGTCTGAGGGGCCTGGGCTCTCCAGGAGCTCTTTGTCTCCAGCAAGATGGATAGTTTGGGATGCTGTGTGGAGACCCTGCTGCCCCGGAGGTGTTTGCGCCAAGTCCCAGGGTGCAGGGGTGCCCCCAGGGGCCATCCTTGCGCTGCTGGGCCTGGAGCATGGGCCTGCCAGGCCCCAGGCGTGAGCTGAGAGTGGGAACCCTGCTTCCGGCCCCAGAGGTGACGTCCTAGCAGCTGCTGGGAGGGGGTGGGGCCCTGGCCAGCGGGCTCTCGGGGCTGCTGAGGAGTGGGCCGAACAGACAGTCCTCCTGAACCCCCGATTTGGGGATTAAAATCACATTTTCTCATATTGTGGTAAAACACACATCAGGCCCTTGAATAACGTCGCTCTGTCGTCACACTGATGAGGAAGAGGGTCCGTCCCTGGTGAGGCCATTGTCCCGGTGGGTTTCCTCAGGAGTCCCTCGTGGAGGGCTGGCCTGGATAGGGGGGCCCCAGCCTGAACCCCTGACCTGGGACCGGGCGGGGGGGGGCGCTGTTGGAAATAGTGTGCGTCTCTGTAAAGCTCACCGTCAACCCGAGGTGTGACGGCGGCAGTGTTTTGGGTCCTGGCTCAGATGCCGGGTGTTGCCGCAGGGAAGGAACTCTCGTTTGTCGGTTAGCGGTGGTGCAGTCTCACTTCACATGGGAAACGACTCTTGGAAACCACCGCTGTGAGCGAGGTCTAGACGCAGCGAGAGGAACGTGCCCGCGGTGAATTCGGCCTTCCTGCTAAGCTCACACACCTGCAGCTCCGCCCTGCACAGGCACCTGCCCGCAGGTGGATCACTGTGTGCACCCTCTCACCTGGGGGTCGGCCACACGCCCCGTCTCCCTAAGGGGAGTCCTGGCAGGGGCCGTGCCAGGCCCACGGGTGGTGGTGTGGAGCGGCCCGGGCATCTCCTCAGCTGCCCCGTCTGCTGCTCTGTCTCACCCTGCAGTGGGCGGGTCAGGGCCTTTGTCCTTTCTATTGTGTGACCTGCACGCGATGTGGAATGTCCCATCTTTGCCGCTCGGCGGTGCGCAGTGCCCTGGCATCCAGCGCACCCCGGCCGCTCTCTTCCTCCAGCGAACCTGGAGGTCCGCTCCCCACCCAACCGCCAGCACCTCCGCCTCGTGGCCCACCAGCAAGGGCCCCGGCGCGGGGTGTCATGCACTGTGTGTCCCCCTCTGAGCCTGCTTGCTTCACCAAGCACGGTGTCCTCATGGTTCATCCATGCGGTGGCATGTTGTAGAATTTCCTTTTAAAAAAAACAAACCTTGAGTCCTGGCTGGTGTGGCCCAGAGGCTGAGCGTCTGCTTGCGAACCAGAGGGTCGCTGGTTCAATTCCCAGTCTAGGGCATGTACCTGGACTGCAGGCCAGGTCCAGAGGCAACCACACACGGATGTTTCTCTCCCTCTCTTTCTTCCTCCCTTCCCCTCTCTCTCTAAAAATAAATTAATTAAATCTTAAAACCCCCCACAAAACCTCGACACATAAACAACACATGACTTGAATTAGTCCATGGGGCGCAATATAAGGTTTCAGTGTTTGAATACACGGTGAGTGGAGTTAACATCCTTCATCTCACCTCCTTACGTGGTCACCACGCCGCTGTTTGTGACCTGCCCGGGACCGGCTTCTCTACTTCCTGGAGGGTTTCCCTTCGCACCCCCCTCTGACACCCCCACCTGTTCTCTCTGTGAGTTGGGATTTCTGTTCCTTTGTTTTTCTTAGATTCCACACACGGTGTTGGTCTTTCTCCCACTTGCTCAGCGTGACGCCCCTGGGGTTCGTCCATGCCCTGTGTGGGAGCCTTCCTTCTCTTTGTGGCCGAGTCCTCCTGCGCTCTGTGCCGGCACCACATGTCCAACTGCGCCTCGGGCCGCACGCTTTGGCCACTGTGACCGGTCCTGCGGCGAGTGCAGCGGCTCTTCTTGCTGGTGTCTTCATTTCCTCTGGGTGCGTCCCCCGAGTGGGGTCACCGGGCCTTCCGGCAGTTCCACCATGGCCCAGTTTTCCAAAGCGCTGCTCTCACGGGCGCGCCGACTGGGCACGTGGGTCCCTTTCTCCACGCTGTCCTCGCCAGCGCTGCCACTGAGGTCGGTGACAATGGCGTGGCGGCCTGACCTGTCCAGGTGCCTGTGGGCTGTTTTGATGTGTTTGGGAAAATGTCTTTTCTGGAGCCTCTGCCCAGTTTTTTTGCTGTTGACTTAACTGAGTGCTTTACATATTTTGAATATGAACCCTTTGTCAGATGTGATTTGCACGTGTTTTCCCTCAGTCTGTTGCTTGCTTTTCCATCGCTTTGGTGGTTTCCTTGGTTGCACAGAAGGTTTTAGTGTGACAAGGTCCCACTTTATTTTTGCCTTTGCTTTTGGCATCAGATCGAAGCAAATCTTCGCCAGAACTAATGCCAAGTAGCTTACCACCTGTTTTCTTGTTTAAATTTTTTCAAAGACTTTATTTACTTTTATTCTTATTATTTGTAAAGATTTTATTTATTCCTTGTTAGAGAGGGGAAGGGAGGGAGGGAGAGAAGGAAACCTCAGTGCATGGCTGCCTCTCGCACGTCCCCCACTGGGGCCCTGGCAGCGACCCTGACCTGTGCTCTCGATTCTGTTCCCCTGCTCTGTGTGTCTGTTTTTATGCCAGGGCCACACTGTTCTGATCACTGTAGCTTTGTCATGTAGTTTGAAACCAGG